GTAGATGTTTTGTAGCAAAAAGAGGGGAGTGATTGATTTTGCAGTCTAGGAGCGGAGGTCCCTGGGACCATCAAGGGAGAAGAGCAGAGAGCGGGACCCTACCTAGAGACGCAGTGATGCCAGAGATGGAGGCAGAGATGATGACGTGGAGAGATGGAGCAGCTGGAGACTTTAGATCCAGAGACAGAGGCTTTCAGTATATATCCTTTGGTTGGTTGATGATGCATAGGAGGGGATTGTAACCATGGCAATGAAACGATATACGTAGGATGAATGTAAAACTAATGTTCTCCCATGTAAACTATCACATAATTCACAATAAAACATTTAAATAAAAATTAAAAACAGCAACACCAAAACATCACCAAAAATACAGTACAATGTTATGTTTTAACAAATCCGTGGCACCTTGACATTAATGAAGGACAGCATCAAACACAGGCCTATCAAGTTGATATTTAAATGAACTCGTGGTGTCCCTGGGTGGTGTGCACATGCTCAGCTGCTGACCAAGAGATTGGAGGTCTAAGTCCAGCCAGAGACACCTTGGAAAACAAACCTGGTGACTTACTCATGGTGAAAACCAAACAAACCGCCGTAGAAAATCTTAGGGAGCACAGTTCTACTGTGATGCCCACGATCACCAGGAGTGAGGACCCACTCACTCCAAGGCACTAGTCAAACGTGACAGAGCCCACACCTGAGCGTACGGCGTCCGCACACACACAGGGCTTGGCATGCTGAGCCATGTGTGGAACGTGTGCTGCAGGAGATGTGAGGAGAACGGGACTGGATTCTGGCTGGAACACTCCTGGTGTGTAGATGCAGCTGCTTCTTTCTGAAATTGTGGCCCCACACCACGGCTGATCCATGCTCTTGTTTTCCAAGGCTCTGAGATGGTCTGTGTGCTTGCTTTGTAGTGAATCCTCTGAATATCCTGGGCATCAACTTCCTGGGGAGACGGCTGAGCCTGTCCATCACCTTGGGGTGCACTGCCCTGTTCTTCCTGCTCCTCAACATCTGCACATCAAGGTACTTCTTGCTGTGTCTGCGTGACCATCCAGCTCTAACTGTGGTCTACAACAGGGGCAAGGAGCCCTGGGAGTGTAGTGGGGTATAAGTTGGTCTGCTAACCAAAAGGTCAGCAGTTCAAATCTACTAGCCATTCCAAGGAGAAAGATGAGGCTTTCTGGTCCCATAAAGACTTACAGCTTCGGAAACCCTATGCAGCATTCCTATGCATCAGCAC